GTCTGTAAGGCTTCAGAATCACACTGCTGGGCTGGTATGTTACCTATTCCAGATCTCAATCGATTAAAAATCCCTTTTACTTGAACATCACTCCTATCTTGTTGGTTCTGTAGATTTGGATTTATGTTTTCATCATGTAGCTGAGACCTAGAACGCTTTGTGTTAGGTGTCTGCATTACATTGTTATTTTCTTTTACTGTTTCATTTTTTCTTCTCTTCATTCTGAAAAACAAAATAGATTTGTGAGGAAAAACGAATCTCCAATTATGTCATTTGTCAATGAACATGTTATATGTTGAAAGAGATTAAAAGACTGACCTTATAGATGTTTCTTTGCTAATGAGGCGAGTAGCTATAGATTAGGATTGAAGGTGTTAAATGGTTATGTAATGATTATAAAGAAATCGTCTCAGCCTGATTTAGTGTGATAGCATTAAACTGAAAAGATTACAGAATATATTTTCTTTTCCATATTCATAATAAAATCTAATTGATTTATTCTTATTTTTAGCATAGAATCTTGTATATTAATAGGTTAAATATGCCAGTTTGGTCGTGAAAACAGTTGTTATACTACAACAATGAACCCTTTTAAAACTGATTTATCTATACTGCTATACTATTCCAATTTGTTAACGATTTAGAATAGGAGATAGATTTTAATAGCTTAAGATCTTTAAAATATTTGCACATATGCCCTTTAAAATATATGTACTTATATATCTCACATATTAATTAAGTTAGCCATTTATAGTATAGATATCGTCAGATTAGTATAGATTCATCGCAGGCTCTCAATGTTTGTTACTAATATGTGTTTTCTTTTATCTGCAGTGTTAGCTACAGTAATGGGGCTTATATATGAAAATTCATCAGTACAAAGCACAGGTTAGTATATTTTCTCTTTCTGTTTTGTGATCTTTAGTTTAAGCATAAGTTAGTTTATATTTTGCAAAGAGTTTAGTATAAGGAGAAGCTTCAAGTTTATTGCTTGAATTCAAAATAACTGAGAATTAAATAGCACATAGCTAAAAGAAAAAACTAAATAAGTTTTGAAACTTGAACAAAAGAAAAAAATAGAAAACTAATTGCTACAGCCAAGCTCCCTACATTATTCCCAGCCAGCACAACTTAATTCTTGCCACCTTCAATCTCTTCCTTCTCAATGTCACCAAGAAGGGAAGAGACACATGCCTTTTTAGTAGTAGAACCCTAACCTTCAATGTCCTCAGAAACTGCATCCATACTACGCTTAGATGAAGGAGTGGATGATGTAGGACCAAAAGGGTCAGTGGTTTCACCACTATTGGTCAGAGCAAGTCCTTCCTGTAAGTAAGAAAATCAGGATAGTCAATATATAATAGATAATCTTTCATATAACAAAGTCATTAAATTATATAGTTATAAGTATCCATAATTTATTCCCTGACTTGAGTATAACTGATGGTACTCACTATTTAATTGAAACACGATCCAGCCCTTTAGTGATAAACTTGAATAACTTTTTGATAGATTGATTTTGGTTGCACCTACTAACATTACCTGATCAATAGAGAGGTCATTACGTTGGTCAGTCTGCTGGTCAGAATCTTCAATAGTATCTAGATTGTCAGATTCATTACCCAGCCAAACGGTTGAAACCTTGTAGGTATCATCAGTTTCATTGATGTTTTCCTTTCCAACAGTCACCAGAAACTGGAAAGTCTTTCCAACCAAATCTCTGATTGGCTGAGGCAAGTTTGTAGGATCCTGAATCTGTTATGATAGATTGAAAAAAGTATTTAAGATATTTGAATAATATGGTCTATATACATATTAACAACAAATTTGTTTACCTCATCCCACTTCCCTTCCAGCAAATCCTCTGCAGACACACCGATTATCTCTTGTGCACTTTTATCAAAGATAAGACATTTAGTGTCTCCAGTGCTATCCATCACTCCAACGTTTAAAAGATACCTACATATCAAAGGAACAGGAAAGTAGATTAGGTACATAGTTATTATCTGACAAATGTAGATATATATTAGCAAATCTCAAAGTCTTACCTTGGTATCACCTTAGGAGTGTCTTCCTTACATGTTGGACACCAAAACATTTCTTTCTTGCCTTTCTTGACAATCTCATTTTCAACCTTTGGAATCTTATAGGCAGTTTTGCTACACTTGAGGCAACTAAAGAAATACCAAGAATAGTCTGTGTCGATATTCATTATGGTACAAATTATGTTGCACTTTCCAGTCTATTCCAAAAAAATAGATAATTAGCAGTATAGACAGAGAATTTAATAGTTGCTAGGAAAAATACTATTATCAAATACAAATACCTCAGAAAAACAAAAGAGTCCAGAGATGGTTTTCCTTGGAAAACGATCATAGTAATCCTTTTTTCTCTGTTCTGCATTCACTTGTTTTGCCTTCGAGTCTTCGATCGTCAGTGGAATAACATCAGGTGGTAAACTATTTTTAACAAATAAAAGAAAACGAAATCAACTTTAGATATTATAAATAGGATTCACAGTTATCTATATTAGTAAAAGAAAAGTGATGTTTAAACATATCTTACTTGGCCACAAACTCAAGAACAGCAGGGTAGGTAGCATTGATTTCCAATAGAGACATATCAAATGAATTTGAAACAGCTCTTTCACCTAAAAACAGCATGATATTAGTATTTTCACATATGTTCTGATTTCATTTCGATTTCAAAATCATGCATTATTCCCAGTAACAACATTCTATACCTTTAAATGAGTTGATCTTTGCAAGCCGAAGCAAGCAAATCACTCTCTCAGTCCCTGCATTTTGACATGCATTATACATTGCCTCAGCAAATCTCCCCCAAAGAGTGCATTTCAGCCTTTCATCACTACAATACAACAAAAATATTGAGAAAGTTTTAAGTTTAGATGTATGTAAGATTATATAAAAAAGGTAGATTCATGATTAAACTTACTTTGTGTCTCTGAGTTCACACTCAAGTCTCTTTGTGATCTTGTTGTTAACATCATGAATTTTCATTTCATTGAAACTAACTACCTGTCCAAGTACATCTGCAAAATAAGAGAGTAATAAATTATATTTTCATGAAGAAGTTCCTATTATAATAGAAAAAGAAAATATACAATGGAAAGTAAGATAGATATAGTACCAATTAAGATGTTTTCACTCAATCCTGCTTCATTCAAAATATCTGGAAAGTTTGCCAGATCCACATAAATGTCATCAGAAACAGCAGGAGTGCGACTTATCACAGTTTTTTCCATCATGGACATTTTGAAACCATGTTTTGTGGCTCGATACTTTCCTGTTGATTTGGTTAGCGTAAAATGCTCGATAATACGCCATTCTCCAGAAACTATGAACCTTTGCAGTTTGCTCACTTGTGGCTTCTTAACAGTAGCATGAATCAAAGTACCCTGGCAACAGATAAAAAGAACTCATGTTAATCATCCAGTGATATTGATGATTGATAAATGTTTAATATGTTGAAAAATGATAGTTCTTATACTTACAGCTGTATCAGCAAGAACCATTTCAACTGTCTCCCCGGTGAATTGAGTGTATTGTGTCCACGAATGCACAATCTTAACTTGAATTTTCCAATGTGTTTTGAAGGGCTTAATGTCAGCAAGAGGGGTGAATGCTTGAACAGCTGCCATTTTGTTAGAGAAATAGTGAAGTGGTAATGGTAAAGCTTTGAAAGGTGAGTTCTTTCTAATGCAGGTCCCTATATTTATAGTAATCGTATGGAGCCTTTAGTTTTATTAGGTTTTAGAGAATATAGGCCGTATAATATAATTTGGGATTAGGATCTTAAAGGTATATGCTTGATTTAGGGAGATTTATTTGTTTGGTATATCAATATCGAACTGAATATGGATATTGAAGAGATTGTGTGATTTTGAATACCAACTAATAAGGGAAATATAATAAGTTAGAATTCTATATCTTTCAATATAGAGAAATTTGAATGATTGAGTTTTGCATTTAAAGAAATTTTTTAAAATTGGCATTGATAGTTTGTGTTGATATGGAAAGATCTTTGCGAGATTTGTGTCTAATTATCGAATAAGTTACAATACTGTATCTTTCCTATTAATATAGGGTAATAGGAATTAATAAGTTTTGCATTTAATTTGCTGTCTACATATATATTTTTACATTGGAATGAATTGTTTGCGGTGATATGGTAAGATTTTTGCGAGATTTGAGTGTAATTAATCAAAAAATTAATTGCTAACTTATTCCCGATTTAGAATAAGTAAAGAATATGCTTGATTTGTTATTATATGGAATAGAAATAAATACGTTTTATTTTAGGAAGTGTAAATTATGAGATTTATAATACCAAGCAATTAGGGAAATATAATAAGTTAGAATTCTATATCTTTCAATATAGAGCAATATAAATGATTGAGTTTTGCATTTAAAGAGATATTTTTAAATTGGCATTGATAGTTTGCTTTGATATGGTAAGATTTTTTCGAGATTTGAGTGTAATTAATCAAAAAAGTAATTGCTAACTTATTCCCGAGTTAGAATAAGTAAAGAATATGCTTGATTTGTTATTATATGGAATAGAAATAAATACGTTTTATTTTAGGAAGTGTAAATTATGAGATTTGTTTGTTAAGGCAATATACAGAGTAGTTGATTGATCCGGAAAAATAGTTATGGTATTGTTTGATTTGTGTTGCTAATGTTTTTATTTCGTATTATCTACTGCAGATTCGGAAATTTGAAGTAAAAGAGATTAACGATGGGCCTGTAGGAAATATCTAAGCCCAATAGGAAATATAGAATCTCATCGGGTCAAATTCACAGACGCAAAAGATAAGAGTGTAGGATCCGGGATCCGCGTCTCGCCTGCGGGAATTTTACAATTTTACCCCTCCACGCAAATTTTTATTTTGTCTTTGAAATTTTAATTGTAATGACATTCTCTTGTAATTATTTACACTTTGTAAGGTTATTTTTCATGTAATGCTTCCCAATTAATAGTATAGATTCAAGAATATATATAAATGAAACTGAGACTGAATATGAACTATACAGAATATACTTTTGGGTTTGGATTCTGTATCTAATGTTACAACAATGGGTTTCTTGAGAAGGGACTTTTATGAGGGCTGAACCAATTGTTCTTCAGGAAGGCTGCACAATTGTTGTCGAACACGCGATACCAATTGAGATGCTTCCTTGTCAAGTTTCAGAGTGTGTCTCCGTAAGCTCTGTCATCACAAAGAAAACAAAAGACAATCAAATCAGGCAACTTTCATAAACCTTTCAAAATGTTTTGTTTCGATCTTGTTTTGTACCTCGGAAGCCCATAAGCAGTCACGTTCCTTACGCGGGATTATGTGAATGTGTGTCTGAAATGCAAACAAAAAAGGAACTGTTAGTAGAAACTTCCCTCCTCAGGAAGTAAGAGAAATAGAAAGCTGGGGAAGACAGTATGTGCTTACGTGAAATATGACTTGCCCAGCTGCTGCGCCGTTGTTAACCAATAAGTTAAATGAATCTGATAAAATAGTTTTGATCAGAATCAGAATCAGAATCAGAATCATCTACCTTAAACTGGTTAAAGATTCCAGAAAGAATGGCAAGATTACTTTAGCATATGACAGCAAGTGGTAAACCTGTTGATAGTATATTTCACTTTGCAAAACAAGATGGCTAAGTTACAAGATAAGGACAAGAAACCTAGTTCACAAGAGAGGTAGGTATCCATTGGTTGCATAAACTAATGATGAGATCGATACGGTCTTGAACTGCAATGGTTGCGTAAAAAACTATAGTATAAATAGGTTATGTGGTCCATCTATATAATATGTTGAGATAAATGGGTTTGAAATCATCGATATATCGAGTTCCTAAGGGAAAGTTCCATTATCAAAATGCTCAGGTTCTAGCAATTCCAGCACAACAGTTCATATAATCTGATTGTATCAAAGATTGATGGAAAAAAGAGAACTGATCGAACATACCACTGCCAGTAGCTTTGACGATGGCGTTGCTGATAAGCGGCACTTTAGAACACATGGCAGCAACAACCTGCATGCTCCTTGGAGGAGACCTATAGTCAAAATCTTATAGGCCTATACATTTTTCGACTAAGTAAAACAAACTTTCAAACAACCAAGGCATACCCAAAAGGAAATGAAACTAGCAACTAATTTACACATATTCCGCAAAAATCCATGAGCAAATGAAGGTAGGAAGAGGAACTTACTGAGGGAGGAGTTTCCTCTAAGGTTGGATAATGTAACTTGGGAATGATAAGAGAGTGCCTGAAACACCCAAACAACAAAGTTATAGCTTTTAGATTCAAGAATAACAACAACACATGTAAAGTAATCAAGAAACCAAATAAAACTACATAGAAGCACAGTAAATAACAGAGCAAATAGCAAACCAATCTCTTCTTAACAAAGAATCAAGATTTGATTATTATTACCCATGGCTAAGTGGATTAGTATCCAAAATACACAAACACATATCATCCTCGTACAACTGCATCAAAAGAGTTCACTTAGTTCTGTGTAAGAAATTGGAAGAAACAGAGACATAAAGTAAGAGTTTTTTAAACCTTGAGACATGGAGACTCGCCACGGATAATCTTGCAGAAAACGCAGTCGTTTTGGAGATTGGATGATTCCACTTTCCCGTCGCCGGAAGAAGCAGAGCTACTACAATCGGAAACCCTGAGAATCGGGTCTCGGGTCGGGTTCGGACCAGGTGGGTTCAGGTGAGAACAGAGGATCGCGAGCCTTCTAGCTTCCATTATCTGAATTCAATTATTATTCCGAATCCAGCAAATAATGAATTTTTTTGTCGAAAATATTAAATTTATTTATTTATTAATGAGGATGAAGATTGAGAGGAGAAGAGTGGATCATGTTTGGAGTGGGGTGTTTTGTTTTATCCACAACCATCATGTGACGATGAGTTGATGACACTGTCCACTGTTTTTAAATATATTTTCTTTTTAATTGATAAAATTAGGGGACTGTACAGCGTAGGCCTGGGCAAAATAACCGGAACCAAATATCCGAACCGAAAAACTCGAAAAAATATCCGAACCGAATCCGAACCGATTTTTAAAAATACCCGAATGGATCCTAGACCCCTACCCGAAAAAAACCCGAACCGAACTCGAACCGAATCCAATACCCGTGGGTACCCAAATACAAATATACACCTAAAATATTAGTTATATTTTTACTTATAATATCCGAAATACCTAAAATTACAATCGTAAATCCGAATATACTAGGTATTTTTGAGTAATTCGGATACATTTGGATATATTTGGTTAAAAAGTAACTAATGATGTAGTTTTCTTTTGGGTAATTTTAGTATTTTTAGATATTTTTGGTTATATTTGGGCAAAGAGTAACCAATGTATTTTTGAGAAATCTGGTATTTCGGTTAGATTTGGGTATATACGAGTAAAAAATCCGAACCCGAAAATATTTCGGGTATTTTTGGTTATTTTCGGGTATTTTGCTTTTTTATTAAAATACCCGAACCGACCCGAACCCGAACCGAATTTTTAGAATACCCGAATGGGTCTCGACCCCCTAACCGAATAGACCCGATACCCGAAAAAAAAGAACCATACCCGAACGGGTACCCGAATGTCCAGGCCTAGTACAGCGGATGGAAATTTTCAATAGAATGAAAGAATTTGCTATACTTTTTTTTTTTGTCATCTAAATAATTTGCTATACAAAATTATCATTTAAAAAAAATTTTATTTAAATAATAGATAATTATATAGATGATTATTTTTTTGGGCTAAGACCATGCACCAAAAACAATTTTTTAATATTAGTAGCCCAAAAACAATTTTTTAATAGACCAAACTATATATTTGGACTTGATCCGTATCAGTCCACTGATACTTTTGATACTCAGTATCGTATGACGTGGCATAACACGATTGGTCTGTGAAAACACGATTTCGCTGAAAACAAAGAGAAAAAAAAACTATTTTCTTCTCTCGATTCTTCTCTTCTCTCCTCTAACGGCGAATCGCCGATTCTTCTTCTTCACATCCTTTTTCATCGCCGGCGGTTCTCCGTAGATCTCCGTCGAAGAAGAACATGCACATGCTTCACCTCTCCGTGTCTCGTCATCATCTGTCTCCGTCGACCTTCCGTAGATCTCCGTCGAAGAAGAGCTGTCGGTTGGAGAGAAGAGATCTCTTTTGATTAATTCAGACGACGATGAGGAAGTTAAGTTTTTTACTAATTCCCTTTTCTTCTGTGTAGATCTAGGTTTAGGGTTTGGGTAGATGAAAGTCTTGGTTTGTGATTAGGGTTTCTGGAAATTCGATTGAGAAGGTGAAATTGGATTAGGGTTTGGTTTTTATTGTGGAAACATTTTCGAAAATTTATTAGGCTTTGGTTATTGATAATTACGGTCTGAAATTGAAAAAATCTTTGTTTGATTTTTGTATTTCTGGAAATTGAATTATTTGGTGATGGATTGAAATGGTGTTTATGATAATTACAGATTGCAATTGAGTATAACTGTATTTTATTATGATTAAGAACTGTAATTTGTTACGATTATAGAAGGATTTCTAAAATTTTGTTTCAGATTTGATTTAAATATTTTGTATTTGATGTAATATTTGTAACTGATTCTATTGTCTTCATGGTTTTGCAGCTGTGTGTGAGTAAGAGGATCGTGAGAGTGGTCAGATTCTGAAATGATGAGAAGCTGCGCAGGTGAAAAGGTAAACTCCAAAACTGCTTTCAATTTTAATTTCTGTGTGTGTAAAACTGAACACTTTTATTGAAACTGAATGGAATTGAATTGAATTGAATAGAGATTAGGAAGTGCATACTTGAATTGAATTGATTACAGTTTATTGAAACTAAACACTTGAATTTAATAGACATTAGGTAGATATGGTTGAGAATGCAGTTGTCTTTAAATGGAACAATGAATACAGATGAAGTAGATAATAAATTGAATGTCATCTCTGTAACTTGTTGTTCTGTTTAATGTTCAATGCAAACTGTGAGAATAGTTTATGTTTAATTATTCTTTGTGTCGTTGGTGATGAGACAAACTGAACTTAAACTTAAAGTGAAATTAAATGCAAACTGAACTTAAACTTAAAGTGGTTATGAGACATTAGCCATCTAGACTGAAGTTATGTTGATGGCTAGTGTCTCAATGACTTCAATTACTAAACTAAACACATAAACTGAACTATAACACCCGTATTCAATAGAAATTAGGTTGATCTTTATTGAGTCTTTGCCTTTATAATGACTCTATGAGAACTAAACAAACCACTTAAACTGAACTAAAACATAAAATGGCTTCCAACTTTAACTTTTCCTCCTCTCAGTCCTTTACCAATATGTTATTTAGCCAAGAAGAAAACCCAACCCCTCTCAGTCCTTCACATCCTCCTTGTTCTGAATCCCAAACACCCACAATCTTAGCTAAGGAACCTAGAGTGAGATGGAGTTATCCTGAAAAGAAGGCACTTGCAAATGCCTGGCTCAACAAATCCAAAGACTCAGTTGTGGAGAATGAGCAGAGATCAGCAGACTTTTGGGATAAGGTTGCAGCATATTATGATGCATGTCCTGCTATCTCTAAGCTCACCATCCGAGAGGCAAACACTTGTAAGCAGAAATGGCAAAAAATGAATGAGCTTGTCATGAAATTTGTTGGCTGCTACGAGTATGCCTCTCGGACTCCTCGTAGTGGAGAGACTAAAGATGACATTCTAGTGCTGGCCTACAAGCTTTACCATCAGGATCAAAAAAAAAAATTCAGTCTTGAGTATGTGTGGAGAATCCTCAAGACTGATCAGAAATGTTGCAATTGGTGTGAGACAAAAATCAAACCTGTTAAGAAGAAAGCTACACTTTCTGAGGTAGAAGAAAATAGTGTTCAAAGGCCTATAGGGGTCAAGGCAGTCAAGGCTTTAGCCAAGTCCAAAGGTAAAAGAAAGAGCAAAGTTTCTGAGGCTAGTTCCGTGGCTGAACTTCAGGGTTTGTGGGAAGTGAAGGAGAAAGATTTTGCTGTCAAAGAGAGACTCTCTAAGAAGAAGCTCCTCGACAGCCTTCTTGGAAGGTCTAATGGTTTGAGTGACATGGAAATTGAACCTAAGAACATTCTTATCAAAGAGTATCTGTCTGGAAGCAATGAGTTTGTGTTTGAGAATGAGTATTCTGGTCTTTAGGTATGTATTGTTGGTTAAGTCTTTTTATTTACTTATGTAAATATGTAGTATTATTTGATCTTCTTTGCTTAATTATGTGCAGAAATCCTCTGGAATCTAGTGGTGTCGGCAAAGAAAGGAATCTGGTTCTCTTTTGCTTTAATGTAGGGTTGTATTGCTTTGTTTTATTCGGATGTACAAACATTTTCTATGGTCACAATTTATTGGTACTTCATTATTGGGGTCGGATCCCACACATCTTCGGTAGGATCCACTTGGATCTGTCCATGTCATTATTACATAATAATCCTCTTAGATTTCTAGATGTTTCATTGCGAGAATCGAGCTCGACCTGTCGGAAGTTCGATTCAGTTTATTAAAGAGCTCGATCTTTACCAGTACGGAGTTCGCTCTTATTCAACATACAGTTTGCATAAAGGTAGGCCGAAGCGAGGAGAATATTGTTCGAGGTTCGCGGCAGCGTCAAGACGCAGGAGTTCAGAGTCAACAAAAAAGAGTTTGGAAGATCCACGCGAAACCCAAGATAGTTCAAATTCAAGCCGTTTCGGTCAAATTGTAACCTACATGATTAATGCGGATCAATTATGAGCAGTAAATGACCGCATTGATCATGTTTTCTCTATATAAACAACCTCAAACGCATGTGTTTGGGGAGAGAACAACTTTTTCACCTCTTACAATCAAGCAATACAACATACTCTTTCGCTTTATTTAGTTTCTTGGTTACTTTCCTTTTCAAATCCTTATTTTCATTTGTTGATTTTAGAGTCACTACAAGAAAGTAAAGTATTGATAGCATTATAATATAACGTTTGATACTTTTTTTGCTATTGTTGATATACCTCTCAATTTTAGATAGCGTTTTCACTTTGGCAAACGCTATATTTAGTTGGTCAGATCTTAATTTTGGAAACGCTTTTTAGAAATATAAATTACATAGCACTGATATGTTTTGAAACGCTGTGTATTATTGAGGCGGATAAAATAATTTATTTGTCGGCTAAGTACTTAGTAAAAAAAAGAAGCGGCTAATAAATTTTCATTCTCCTTCTCACTCCATGGTTTCATTTCTCAAGCTTTTCTCTCAATATTTTTTCCCATCTCCAGATAACTAGTTTTTCTCCACAAAAATACTTAAAGACAATCGAGTGTGAATCCTACATCCACATTTTGGCGCCGCCTGTGGGGAGTTACCGCAAAACTCTTTAATCTCAAAATCTCTCTTTTTCAAACCAAGAAACTATGGCTGATCAGCAAGCTTTGAGCAATGCAATTGCCTCGCTTACTCAGTCAACCACCGATCTGACCAATCAGATGGGTACACTCGCTAGTGCCAACGCCACTTTTGGCGAAAGGTTAAACTCAATCGAGCAAACTTTAACGAGTGTTCAAAATACTCAAACAAATTTGTCAAACGCGCAGAACGTTGTTTAAAGCCGTTTAGATAATTTGTCCTCAACACAAACGACAGCGTATCAGCGCAGGCTATTCCAAACTCCCACACAAAACAGATCTGGGAGCACTCAAACTCCTCCTACAGGCCGTCATGCTAGTACTAGCAATCAGACAACCGTAGGAGATGGGTCCAATCCAACCGGGGATGAAAATCCCCAAAATCAGGGCAATCCTGCTATCGACGAAGGACTCCTTATGGAAGAACCTGATGTCATCCTTTCCGATGATTTTGTCAAAGTTCGTCAAGAGCTTG